ATGACATCAGCTGATCTTGTTCAGCTGTCAGTCGGCTTCAACAGCTGTTTATGTCTACACAAATACTCCTCCCTCCTCCTTTCAGTTACAAGAGCTTTGGGACGCTCATTAACAAGGCCAAACAAGGCAGCAGGAAAAAGTAAATGTAGACCCAGATCACGCAGAGGGAGGAGTTTTGACAAAGCTGTCTGTGCCTCAGGAAACATTTATGAACCTGAACACAGCTTTTAGTTTCATGACGCATCTAAAGAGGGGAAGGTTGCAGGTAGATTTATTTTTTTAAAGCACAAATTACCGATGATTCTGCGTTAGCCTCCCTTTCTGTCTGAATGCATTTTTGGTTCACCATGTTCTCACTGGAGCTGATTTCTGACCCGTTCTGCTTTTCTGGACTTTCAGATGGTTCAGGATCCAACCCAGTTTGACGTACTGGTCATGCCCAACCTGTACGGAGACATTCTCAGGTTAGTTTGGATCTCTTCCGTTTGAAATCTTATCCACTCGTCTCGACAGGGAGGACAGAGCAGAAACGTTGTGTGTGTCTGTCTGTCTTTCAGTGATCTGTGTGCCGGTCTGATCGGAGGACTCGGTGTCACCCCCAGTGGAAACATCGGAGCTAACGGAGTCGCCATCTTTGAATCGGTTTGTTCCTCTTTACCTTCACATGTTTGTTTTTTTAAATTTAATTTAAAAATCTCCTTTGAATGAGACGTTCTCCTCCTGACAGAGTTTTTGTTTTTTCCCTCCCGCAGGTTCACGGCACGGCCCCAGACATCGCCGGCCTAGACATGGCGAACCCCACCGCCCTGCTGCTCAGTGCTGTCATGATGCTGCGTCACATGGGACTCCACAGCCATGGCAACAAGATCCAGGTGGCGTGTTTCGACACCATCAGAGACAAGAAGGTGAGACTCTTGAGGGTTCAGACTTCTCAGGTGAAGACTCAATGCAGGAGAAACTAAAGCTGAAAAGTACCTAAACGACATTTTACTATATTGATCTTTATATTATTACAGTTATTAGTATGACAGGTCTGCCAGTCTAAACAAGACAGGCAGTTATTTCACTGGGTGCCTCATAACGGTGTGAGTAGGTCTGAAAGGTATTTAGACCTGAGACCGTTTAGTGATTTAAAAAATAAGTAATGAGGGAGCGCCAATAGCCAAGCGGTTATGTCGCTGTAGTCCTCGTTGCAGCGACTGTGGGTTTGAATCCGCCCTCGACCCTTTGCTGCATGTCGTCCCCTACTCTCTCCTCCCAACGCCTCCTGTCTCTCTTCGGCTGTCCTGTCATATCGAGGAAAAGTGGTTAAAAAATAAAAAACTTTAAAAACACAAAACGAAGAAGAAATACCATTTTAAAATCTATGCTTTAGGACACATCGTGAAGACCAAGTAAAGGAACATAGAGAGCGTGTTGCTTCTTCAAAAGCAAAATTCCCCTTGACTGATTGTGTGTACCTCTGACCACATCACACAGGTTAATTTAACTGAATGTAACCTTACATCATCGGTACGTTCTTCTTTACACTCTCTCTGTAAGGGCGAGTAGATGCTGCTATTCATTCTTCCTCTGCCCTCTTTGATTCCCATCGAGGCGACGTATCATGTTCCTTTTTGTCGTGCTGTGGCGGTATTATTGCTGTGCGGTGATCCAAAACTCCTTTTGAAGCTGTTACCATGGAAACAGTCTTGTCTGATGAGGTGTGTTGTTGTCGTCGTCCTCGTGTCTCAGGTGCTGACTAAGGACCTCGGTGGAAACTCCAAGTGTTCAGAGTTTACAGCTGAAATCTGCCGTCGCATCCAGGACATGGACTGAGTCTGCAGTGAGGGAACAGCTGTGGGAGTCTCCGCCCCCACACAAAGAGCCACGCCTCCTCCTCCTCCTCCTCCTCCTCCTCCTGCCTCCTCTTCTGCTGACTGGTTTTACATCTCTGAAGCTGCAGAGACACAGTCAGCTGGGAGGCCTGCTGCAGCTTCAGTCTTTTGTTTTTTGCATTCTACTGTAATTACATGAAGAAAAAAATCTGTTCTTTCTGTAATGACATGATGGATGTGGAGGGGGCGGGGCTTCGGTAGCAGCTACCTTGATTTAGTTATCATGATGAAACATTCACAGTAAACATGCGCACAAATGTCTCATGACCAAGTTTGAATGAAATAAGTTCAGGAGTGTGTCTTACTCAAAGGATCATCTTAATAATATCAATAATATCTGCACTCCGCTTCAGGATATTTGCTATTTTTTTAACGGTGATGCAGTGTAGCCGTACCTGAAATGTCTTCTTATTTATTGTTTCCTGTTACCATCTCATGCTGCTTTCTTCAGTTTCAGAGATCCACCAATATATAAACGTCTATATAAAGAAAGAGAACACACTGCTCCGGTCTCTCTGCTGTTTTACACATTCACATCATCTTAGGTACAACTATGCTGCTTCTTACTGACTGCTTTAAATACATTCAAAACTCATTAAAAAGGGCTTTTTGAAAAAGAGTTTTCAGGCTCTTCTTTTGACAAGTATTACCTTAAATATGAGAATAAATCCCACACGGCTTTTTCAGCATAAAACAAGGCATCATTAGGATTAATACTTCATACAGTAATGAAGCCAACATGCTGTAAGAATGTTAAAATATCTGCTCCCTCACATTTTCTTATTCCAATGTGTGCTTGTTTCACTTCCCAAGTGCCACTGCTGCATTTCTGCCCTGCTTTTTGTCTCTCAGACTACATACTAAAGACGACTGCTTTAAAGGTCTAACACAAATATGTGTCCCTAGTCCGTCTTCAAACCCCCCAATGATGAGAAAAGTCCATCCTCTCCGTCTTTTGCCTGCTCCACTTTTTAGAAAATGTGTGCTCAAACAGGCCGTTTGGAGATTTTCCCTTCATGACATCACAAAGGGCAGTAACCCCTCCCCAAGGTGGGTGACACTCCCACAGCTAGGTGTTTGTTCTGCCCTCTGAGTCTGCCTTCTCACCGTAAACAATAGGACATGGAGCGAGAAAGCACAGAGACACCCGAGCTCTTCCAGAGAGGGGGCGTGGTCACCGCTGGTAAGACACCACACGCTCACCCAGGTGCATGCTGGTCCTCTACCTGCCTGTCCATCTTGCATAGAAATCCTCAGGTGCCCACTGTGTTACCTAAATACCAAACAAATCATAAATACTAATTATGCAAAACTAAATTTACTGAACTGATACCTAGAGAAAGAAGATCTCAGAAATATATTCTAAATAAATAAAACATCTTGAATAACTTAAAGGTAACTAAAACACAGATTTTCTGCTGTACTGCTCTACTCTGGAATTTAAAAATTAAAAGCCTTTAAGAGGTCAATGTATCAACTTTGAGAGGAAGGGGAGCAGGGGGTAAACTCACTCCTTCTGCTGAAACATGATACAATGTTTGCCCCTCATACAAATAAAGCCCTGTGTGCTGCAGGCTGTGTATGGGACGTACATGCAGCTCTATGGGGAGATGCAGACACCAGATCTCAATAGGTCAGTTTTTCAAAATCAAAGTCAATTGATACAGAGAATAGTTTCTAAACATTTTCATAACATGTAGTCATCAGGTATTATCAGAAGTGTTGTGACACCTGTGATGGGCCAATATTATTTCCATCCTGAGCCTTATTCTTGTTTTGTCGCATATCAAATTATTCTCATTTAGGACGAAGCACTGAACCTGGCATACCACAGTGTTTGTGCGGTGGTGCTTGGGATACCTGGGCCAGCACATGAGGGGTGGTCATCCCGTCTTGTGTTGTCACCCTGCATCAGGGGAGAGTGTCCTTGAACCTGGTGAAGCTTATACAGGTTTCCATCTCCCTCCCCTTAGCTGGAGCTCTATCAGGTCCACAGCTGTGTCCATTCCACACATTTTTGTTAGAGCAGGATGAAACAACATAAAAAGCTCCTGCAAAGTGTGATGTCTTACAAAATAAAGACCTTTAAAGGAAGGGATGCTTCTCACGTTCATAAAGCTTTAATTGGTTTAAAGAACGTGTGCCCCGCTGGCCTCCCGTGTTTATGAACAGGGTGTAACTTCCACAGAGGGTTTAGGGAAGTGTCCTCCTCCACCCTCCGAGGTCAGATAATGACCTCACTAATGTTTATAAACGTCAGCTGGACGTCAGAGTCATCTGGCAGTCCAGCTGTGAGAGGAGATACCACGTGCCAGCAGCAGCCATTGTTTCAAGAAGTGAAGTTACTTTCCTTTTGTTTTCAGCAGAGCAGCAAAGACTCTTGAGTTTTAAATCCTTAAAGTACCGGCAAACTTCTCTCAAACTGGCAGCCCACCCCCCCCGAGGGCGCGCCCCGGACACGCCTCCCTGAGCATGACGTCACAGAAAAAAACGCCCCCTGTTTCCTGGCTGTGACAAGCTGCGCGGTACAGTCGGAAAAACACAGGAGATAAACCTTCAGAATAAAAGCCCATACTTTATTTAAAAAAAAATGTTATATAAAAATATATTAAGAAAAAAAGTTCAAAACAACAAAACACACACGTAAACACACTGAACTTAAACTTAAACAACATGTTTGATAACTGAAGCTAAAATAAAAATGTGGCTTTAATAAGAAACAAGAAAATAAGCCATTGTGTGCCTACAAAACTACTAAAGATAAAATAATATTACATAAGTGTTCGTCTTTGACACAAGCATACCGAGTAACACATAGCCTGTCCTTACAGTTTTTTCCCTTACTTAAAATGTTTTTTAGGGTATTTTTTAATGAAGTTGCTTTTTTTACGATACAGAGACACAAAAACTAAAACTAATATAAACGTTACTAATACTCAGCATTTCCACATAATAAAAACTTAACCAGAATTAAAAACTAATTCAAACTAAACTGAAAAAGAAAACAAAAAGTCAAAACGAAAATGAAAACAAAAACTCATGGAAAATCTCGTTTTCTCGTGCTTCCGTTCTTCTTTTATTTTGAAGAGGCCTCACCGGATGTGTGTTGCGCTGTAGTCAAGGTAACTTGAAGCTCGATCGTTTCCTGCTCCCCGTTTCGGTCTTGTTTCAGTAAAGCCCACCACAGGTCAGGACCACTGTTCCCAGTAAACCCAGCGGAGAGACGGTGTGACGACGGGAGTGCGAGGAGGACGGCAGGTTTCCGTTAAAGCACCGGGAGCACCGGGAGGAAGGGCGGGACTGAGAATGGCGAAAACGTACGACTATCTGTTCAAGCTGCTGCTGATCGGAGACAGCGGCGTCGGTAAAACCTGCCTGCTGTTCCGGTTCAGTGAAGACGCCTTTAACACCACCTTCATCTCCACCATCGGTGAGTCCAACACCCCCTCTCTCCCCCCTCCCTCCCGGTTTGACGGACGGTTAACTCAGGTGTTAGGTAACGTAACGTCCCGGAGCTTACAGGCGGGGGGGGGGGGGGCTCACAGTCCAGATGTTATCTTCAGAGAGGAGATCATCAGTGGCTCTTTGATCACCTGTAAAAAAAAGAAGTCAGTATACCTTTCACCCTTTCTTGAGAATTGAAAAAAAAAAAAAAAAATTCTGTTCAAAATTGTTTTAAATAAATATATAAATAAATAAATAAATATATATAAATAAATAAATAAATAAAAATATATATAAATAAATAAATAAATAAAAATATATATAAATAAATAAATAAATAAAAATATAAATAAATAAATAAAAATATATTTTAAAATATCAGTCTTGGCTATTAAACCCTGTAACGGGCTTTAGACAAACAAAAAGTCACAGTATTTTAGAATAAAACCTTAAGGACAATTTTAATGTGTTTATTTTATTTATTAAAAACAAGGTTATTCAATCAGCTGTGCAATCAAAAAGTTTGGTTTCTTTTTATTCAACAAATAAATCCGTCTGTGACACCTGGACATCATGTCAAGACTTCAGACTACGTCATTTGCATCCATTAAATGAAGTGATTTATGTAGTAATGGCATTAAAATAACTTAATGTGTTAATTTAACAAAGGAAATAATGAAATAAACACATTTAGAAAAAAAAAGTATTCAATTAATAAAGGAGATGGAGTTACGTCACAGCTGTCGGATGGAAAATCTGACCGAGATCATCATCATCATCATCATCATCATCATCAACCTTTATTTAAGACTTGAAGACTTGAAAATCTTTGAGGTTTCCCTCATTTTCAAAGACGTCGAGATACAAAAACAAACAATTTGCAACAATTAAGAACAAATCAAATTTGTGTTTATAAAAAACAATCACACGCTGACGTCTGACAGAGTTGACAACATTCATTTAACAGCTCATCTGTGGCGAGTTGCCATTCCAGCTTTCAAAGTTGCTTAGCGGTCTCTCAATGCTAACCAAACCACAGAGCGCGTAGCTGACATGATTGGCAGGTGGGCGGGATGTAACAGTTCGTCTGGAGGCTTAAAACCCACCTCAGCTCCAGCTCTCAGCCTGTCGTCAGGTTGACTGAAAGTTAGAGTGAGACAGGATTTCCGGCATGGCGGCGGCTGCTGCTGATGAGCCATGCGTGACATCACTCAGGCTAATCGTTGAATTCTGAATATGATCTAAACCTGGATAAGGCTGATAACCAGAATACTCAAGTCCATGTAAACACACGGAACGACTTCCTCTTGTCCAGACAGTTCTGATGTTCTGAATATCAGCACAGCTTTCAATCAATCAATCAAGATCATCAGACTGTGAGTGACATGTGATTCCTGGTCCTGCAAATGAACCAGAGAAAATCTGTAGTCTATTCTCAAACCGTCTGCACATTCCTGTTTGGTGATTTTCATGTTTTTTTTTAACAATAGGACAAACAAAAGAGCTCTTCTTTTCTGTCAGGAGATCTCCATCTTGTTTTCTAGTGAGCATGTGTGCAGAACACAACGATCTATTCTTCCTCCATTCAGTGTGACTAAAAGTGCTTTCTGTCACTACTTAAGTTCATCCTGTACCAGCAGGTCAGAGGTCACAAGGCACACGAGAGCTGTCCCACTGAACACACAACATTTAACCCTTATGTAGCTGCAAACTTCCCACCACACACACACACACACACACACACGCACACACACACGTCTTCCTCTGTGTGCTTCCTGTTCGTCAGAGCTAGCAGAGCCGAGTGTGTCTGCCTGGTCGAGACAGGAAGTGAGACTGTCTTCTTCACTGTGTGTGTGTGTGTGTGTGTGTGTGTGTGTGTGTGTGTGTGTGTGTGTGTGTGTGTGTGTGTGTGTGTGTGTGTGTGTGTGTGTGTGTGTGTGTGTGTGTGTGTGTGTGTGTGTGTGTGTGTGTGTGTGTGTGTGTGTGTGTGTGTGTGTGTGTGTGATCCACCTGCTTCACTGTATTTGGAGCCGTTTCTCTGTCGCAGTTTGAAATGAGGACAAGAGCAGCACCAAGTTATGACACGTTCTTCACTCGGACGCAAACACAAGACGTTAAACTTTATGTGTATTAGGTTCTCAGATGAATCCGACCAAAAGGTAAAGGCAGGGTCGGTCATTTTCAAAAACTAGCATGATTTTGAAAGTAGCATTCCCTCAGTGCCACGCCCCTCCCCCCTCTGTGCTCCCTCTAAAGCAACGCCCCCTCCCCTCTGTGCACCTCTAAAGTCACGCCCCCTTCCCTCTGTGCTCCCTCTAAAGCCACGCCCCTCCCCTCTGTGCTCCCTCTAAAGCCACGCCCCTCCCCCCTCTGTGCTCCCTCTAAAGTCACGCCCCTTCCCTCTGTGCTCCCTCTAAAGCCACGCCCCCTCCCCCCTCTGTGCTCCCTCTAAAGCCCCCTCACTTACATGCACTCCTAGTACTCCGACATACGTTTACCTAACGATCTGAAACTTTGCCCACATTTGTCCAGCATTGTGACACTAATGGAGAGTTTTAAAATGAGGTCACCTTTAACCTTATTCCCCCCCTTGTTTTACTTACTTTACTTTGACCCAGGATCGTTTGTGTTTATTCTCAAGACACAGAGGTATTTGAAAACTCTCGTGTCAGGGTTCACTGCATCAGCCAGAGGGACTCTGTTTGGATGCTTTCAGGTACTTGAGTCTGAGCAGAGCCAAGAGGATCAGTACCAGGATTCCTCGAGTGGACACTGCTTATCAGGGTTTGGTGTGTGAAAGGTTTCAGAATGGAATTTGGACCGTCCATTTTCTTTCTTATGCATCGTCCGTACATCAGGAGAACCTCAGCACTGAAATGAACATTTCCTCCTGCTCTCAGCTCGTGCCTGTGGCCTGACTTTGCATCTCTGCACTGAACTTGTAAAAAATGATCTTAACTTCTGGTCTGAAAACACAGACAGTAGCTCAACGATGGAGTTTGAGGGTTTCTCGTTGAAGACTTGCTCTGCTTTGCGTTTACTCATCGACTAACCATTTGGTCGACTTATTTTTGGGGCTGCATGAAACAGCAGAATACTGATTTTCTTAACTTCAAAATAAAAGTGACCACGTTTCATTAAAGGCTTTATATGCTTTCACACTTAAATATAATATAAATCAAGAATATCCTCTGAAAATAACTCTGTGAGTAATGACTGTCTACAATGGGTGTAACACCCGAGTCCCACTGTCTGTGATGTTTTCAGAGTCATATCTTCAGTTTGTTTACATCGCCAGGACAGCAGGCCGACTCCTCCCCTCACGTATAAAAGTCGTTTAATTGAGGGACTAGAGAAAAGAAGAATAACATACTGTACTCACTGCTTAACTGCGTTTCTAGATCACGCTCCCCCCCCCCCTCCCCCCTCCCCGCTGCATAGTCGTGATGTCATCAGAAGTGAACCGGCCATGTGTGTCTGCTAGTTTTTTTTCTCTCGGTTCAGCTGCTGATACTTGACGAATTTTAAATATGCTCCCACAATCCTTTGCTGCTGTGGTCGGACAGAGGATGCACTGTCACCACGCTGCTGGGGTCTCGTGAGAGTCAGCTGACCTCTGACTGTGTGTGTGTGTGTGTGTGTGTGTGTGTGTGTGTGTGTGTGTGTGTGTGTGTGTGTGTGTGTGTGTGTGTGTGTGTGTGTGTGTGTGTGTGTGTGTGTGTGTGTGTGTGTGTGTGTGTGTGTGTGTGTGTGTGTGTGTGTGTGTGTGTGTGTGTAAGTGGGAACAGGCCTGTTGTATGTGAGAGATGTGACACAGATCTTCATGATGGATTTATCACAGACTGAACACAAAGACATTCAGCCTGAAAACCTGAAACTGTCCGATATGTCAGCTCACTTTTATTTCTTTATTCATTTGTTGATCATGACTCGTGATGACTCGGATCGATCGTTTGGTCTAAGAAGTGTCAGAAGACGATGAATCCAGCTCAAAGGAATCACAAAATGTGTCTTCTCTTTGTCCGTGTTTGTGTGACTGCATGAAAACATCTGCAGATTTAAATTTCCCATCGAGAACTTTTTTTTTTTTTTTAATGAAATCAGATTTGGAGTGAAAACGAAAATCTTCTGTTGAGGAGGGGAAGAGGAGAGCAGAGGAGGAAGGAGGTCTGCTGCACGTTTCCGTAACAACCAGCAATAACTCGGTTTCACTTCCTGGTGACGGAGAAGAATGAAGGGAGGAGGAGAAGAATGAAAGTTTAGATCAGCACTCAGTCAGATCTGAATTCTCTCGCCTGCTGTTGATCGAGAGACTTTTTTACGTGTTTAATCTTTTATAAACATGATCATGGACCTTATTGACAGACACACGTATGTCGATGTTTTTCTATCGGGCTGATGCATGAAAATAACCCAAACTTCTCAAATAGCACGATGAGCTGAGGACGCAGCGTCCACCTAAAGATGAAACTAAGAACACTCATAACACATCCGACAGATTGGCACTTTTTGAGCCGTTCCTCAAAATGCATTCCAGTCAGACAACTCGCGTTTGATTTTGTGCAGCAGCAGAACATCGTTTGTGTTTGGCGTCGAGGCTCTGACCTCATCTCCCTCCTCACAGTTTGATTTTACATGCAGACATTTGAGGAGTGATGGGATGATATCTTAAACCCCCCCCCAGTCAGAGCCCACAGGTGTATGCTGTGGTGGTGGAGGTGGAGGTGGTGGGGCACTGGTGCAGGTCAGAGCTGGAAATGAGAAAGATAGCGTAAATAGACCACTAGTTGGAAGGAGGTGTGGTCAGGTGATTGAGGATGATGATGATGATGAAGCAGGGCGAGTTGTCTGCCTGAGCTAGCTCGCAGGCATCGCTTCATTTCTGCAGACGGCTGCTGTAAATTATGAAGAAATAAATCTCCACTGTATACTAAGTGGGGCTTCACTATGGCGCAGTGGTTAGGACTGTTGCCTAACAACCAGGAGGTTCCAGTCTCGTTGTACAGGAGCCTCTCCGAGTCTACATGTCCTCTCCGGGTACTCCGTCTTCCTCCCACAGTCCAAAGACGTGCTCGTTAGGTTAACTGCTGACTCTAAAGTGTCCGTAGGTGTGAATGTGACTGTGGCTGGTTGTCAGCCCTGTGATTGGCTGTGATTTAAATCTCCTGCACTTTATAAAAAACAATAACAGACTTCTTTAAAGTGTCTGGATGAAGTTCACACATTCTCTGAGTCTTGTCTCTACTAATTCATATTTGACACACACACATTATTATTCTGACCTGCTGATCCACCCTCCTGTGTGTCATTCATAGTCCTCCTTTTGTTTTGACTTCTTCTTTTCCTCCTCCTGAAAACGCCTCCACCGCCCCTCAGCGAAGAAAGATAAACATCAGCAGAACACTCTCAGTGTATAATTCTAGTTATTCCTTACTTTAATAAACTCAAACAAACAAACAAACAGTGATATCTGTTGTTACCTGTCACAGCTTTTTTCTGTGTTGATGCTTTAAAGGGGGGCGCAGATTTGTCCATGGTCCTCTGCTGGTTAAACATGCTGCTCCAGGACACTGAGGCAGGTGGGACTGTGTGTGTGTGTGAGCTGAGGAGGGTCGGCGTGAGGGTGTAGAGACGGAGGACAGGGGGGGGGGATTTTGAACTAGCATCACTAAGGGCTCCTCTGCGCTGTGAGCAGGAAACGCTGCAGGAAACGGAGCAGCTGTCAGGCTTCTTGGAAAAAGATTTTCTCTCTGCTGAAGCAGGAAACGACGGTCGCTCACATTTGTTTGTTAAAAATATCTCTGACTTCCTTTTTTAAGGTAGGAGTCACACTCAGTCAGCTGACAGATTTAACATCCAGGGCCGAGATACAAACGCACCTCACTGACCGGGCGGGTGGGGCTGGGAACTTTAGTGTCAATACACAGGAGTATACTATACACAGGCCACACACATGGGTTAATATGTAAAAGTCTCTCTGCTTGGTGAGGTCAAGGCGTTACCACGTTCTTTGCCTCTTGCTTGTTGAGGCTTTAAAGTATTTTATTTTGTCCATGACATGACGTGTGGTTTTTGTGTCTGTTAGTGTCATAGTTGTATTGTGTTTAGTTTCTATGCTGAAAACAAAGTATTATATGAATCATCATTTTAAAAAAAGGACATCCAAAAAGCTTTTTTCCAACACTAAATTGGCACTGATTAATTTGAGTCAGATGTGAGAAAACATCGAAGGTTCTCAGGAAATATCTTCTCATTTCTTTTGGGATAAATTCAAATCTTTGTGATGTGTTTATCCGCAGTGTTTAAATTATCTGCGCAGCCATTTTAGATGTAGACAGAAAGAGGACACGCATTCATGAGATCAAATGAGGTGGGTTTGTCCTGATGGTGGCGCTGTGAAGGGTTTTGGGTCCTGACTTTGTGTTCCTCTCTCTCTCTCTCTCTCTCTCTCTCTCTCTCTCTCTCTCTCTGTCTCGTGTTTCAGGCATCGACTTTAAGATCAGGACGGTCGAGCTCGATGGAAAGAAGATCAAACTTCAGATTTGGTGAGTTTGGACTCGTTTAATAAACACACCTCAAATCGATGAAAAAATTGAGAATCCTGTCTCGTTCTGCATGAAGAGTGCGCTGAGATGTTCTGCAGACGCCCGTCCTTCTCACTTTATAAAACGACTTTAAACAGATCAGAGCTGGTTTATTTGCTGAGAGGTCACTAACAGGTCAGAGGTCAGCGCCATGCGTCTTTAAACACAGTGTGCTTCCTGTTCCTGCAGGGACACGGCGGGTCAGGAGCGGTTCAGGACCATCACAACGGCCTATTACAGAGGAGCCATGGTAAGACACGCCCCTCCTTCCTGCTGATTGGACGGAGCAGGTGTCCATCATGCACACCCAGTTGTTTTGAGCTTAGTGCTGTGAAAGAAACGTGTACAATACTTCATATTGATACGCATAAAGGTTTTCTGTGTGTGTGTGCGCGTGCGTGCGTGTGTGTGCGTGTGCGTGTGCGTGTGTGTGTGTTTTCTTTACACATCCGGAGCTAAATGTCACCAACTCTCAGGGCACTTCCTGTTCTGATGTCACTTCCTGTCCTTTGTGTTTCAGGGCATCATGCTGGTGTATGACATCACCAACGAGAAGTCCTTCGACAACATCAGGAACTGGATACGCAACATCGAGGAGGTAAACCCCCAACCCCCGAATGACATCCCGCCACATGACATCACTCAACGACGGCGTGGCTCTCTTTGGGGATAGAGTTTGATTTAATGTCGTCGAGCAGAAAAATCACTTTAAAGTTGAACATTTGAGTGACTGTTCATTTCTATGAATCTGGTTCAGAGCTGCCATCTAGTGGCCAACATGTGTAAGAAATGAGTTAAAAAACTAACGTGTGAGGACTGAAGCTGCTTCTTCTGAATGCTTTTATTTAACCAGACTGAAACATGTGAACCCCAAATATTCAGTTTTTTATTTTATTTAAAGGAGCACACCATCATTTCCATTGCTGATAACCTTTGCAACACAACAGACTTTCCAATTCAATCCAAAAAGCTTTATTGTAATCACAATAGATAGTAACAATAATAATCAATATAATAATCTGGATTTGTTTGGACCAGAGAAGGTTGGCAGTTTTAAGGCGACCCCCACACGGTCGTTTTGGACGCCCCTCGGTTTGTCAGATATGAGAGCAGTTATCAGGTCAAACCAACAGGTGTTGCAGCGATGGAAGCGGGCAAGAGAAGTGGTTCAGATAGAAGTGATTGTACCCGACCTAAAAAGCCTCTGCATGGTTCACAGAAATGTTTGTGTCTTTTTTTTTTTTTCAGCATGCGTCTTCAGACGTGGAGAGGATGGTTCTGGGAAACAAATGTGACATGAACGACAAGAGACAAGTGTCCAAAGAGAGAGGAGAGAAGGTCTGTTCCTGTTTCTTACCGGGAGTTCTGGTTATGAATGGTGTCAGGGTGTCTAAACCAGTGAAACCATTACTCCCATTAACACCTCTGCTCACATCGGGACAACATTGTATCATTTAAAAAAAAGTGTTGAAAATGTTTGACAACCTTTCTTTAAATTAGACAAATGAAACATGAAGCTGTTGAATCAGTGAAACTGATAAATGATCTGAAGCCTCTGAAAGGTTTTGTTAACGAGTTCTTTAGATCTGATGTTCACTCTTCATCTGTGTTGAATCTGCGTCGTCTCCTCTCGTCTTTCAGCTGGCCATCGATTACGGGATCAAGTTTTTGGAAACCAGCGCAAAGTCCAGTATCAACGTGGAGGAGGTGAGTCCTGGTCGGAGATTTCACGTCGCTACTTTATGGAAGCGATAATAATCCCGTTTTCTCTGCTCCTCAGGCCTTTTTCACACTCGGCAGAGACATCATGACGAGACTCAACAGAAAGATGGTGAGTTAATGTCACACACACATCACAAAGCAACATGTCTGCTCACGTAATGAGCGAATTGATGAACAGAGATGGTCTGAAAATCAAAACATCCAGAATAGTAAGAAGTCAAGCTGTTTGATCCTCAGGTGTGTTGATGTGGCTGAAGACTCAACTCTTTGTTTTTTTTTCCTGCAGAACGACAACAACCCGCCAGGAGGAGGCGGGCCGGTTAAAATCACAGAGTCTCGATCTAAAAAGAGCTTCTTCAGGTGTACACTGTTGTAGGAGGAGCTCCCACTCTCGCCTCCTCCTCCCTCCTCCTCCTCCTCCTCCTCCTCCTCTGGCTGCTGCAGAACTGAACCTCCCACTGCAGGAGGACGTCAGCCGAGAATCAAACCTGTGGAAATCATGAAGACGTCTTCATGTTGAATCTGCTCCCTCAGGAGCGTCTCTGCTTTTTAATCAGCTCAGAGCTCAATGCTCCCCTCCTGCACGCCTCCTCCTGTTTGTGTTTTTAATTTGCATCCTGAGAGGACGCCTCCCCTCCCCCTCCCCCCTCCCCCTTCGATTTGACGTCTTACTCTAAGAGGACGACGGCTCTCAGTCGATGCATCCTCCCTCTTTGAGGACATCTTAATCCGAGGAGAACATTTTTCTCTGAGTGGACGTCTGTGTTTGACTGTTTTTGTTCCGCTAAGTGTCGCAGCAGCTCTGCAGAGTTTTGTTATCTGCAGGCTGGAGGAAGAAAGACTGGAGCCTGACGAGGACCTGATCAGATAAGTGATAATCATTAACGATGAATCTTCAGAGAGGACTTTAGACGGTCACAATCATCACTAACACGTTTATATTTGTGTTAACAAAGACAAAGATCGGGTTATTCTACATCGAATCGAGTCTATAATAACCTCACATATCGGGACGTTAAATTAAGAATATGACACATTTCAAACAATCGACAAATTATTTAACAACTCATTTCATGTGACATTAACGTGTGTCCTCTTTTACCGTTTACAACTTTATTATCAAAACTTTTAGTCATTAAGATTTTTACAAATATATTTAGTTTTTTATGATTCTATCATTTCAATGCAGCATTCACTTTATGAATCTTTCTGAAAGTATCAACCTGAAGTCTTCAATCAGCGAGCACTGAAATAAATATGTTGGCAGAAACTCCCGATATATTATAAACTATACAGGATATATAAAGTATATGACATATTATATTTCAGATCTTATTTTATCTAAACAGATATAAATATTATTAATGTGACGGCTGCTGCGTTTTGTTTGTTAAATCGTCTCTGCAGTTCGTTCTCCTCGTCAGAGTCTTTCTGCTGTCAGCTTTCAAACTTCATACCTCCAACAGGTTTCATTATTCTGTCTTCTTCTGTGGTGCAGGATCAGGAGCTCCAGCCAAACTGGACGTTCTGAGCATGCTGCACGCTGGTCGCATGCTGCATTCATGTGCTGCTCGGGTGGTCCAAGTTTACGAGTTGGGAAGTCGTTCTTCCGACTTTAGTGTGTTCAGGTGATTTAAGTTTGGAAAGTCGGAATGTTGTAACAAAAAGCGTTACTGTAAAAAGTTATATTTGAGCAAAACGTTGATGTGCAATACCTGAATTAATAAAAAAGTATGTTAACGTTAAAAAAAAAAGGAAATTGTCCCCCATTTGATGACGATTCTGACATCAAGTCGGGAAGTCGGGCACCTTAATCTTTCCTGAGTTTCCGAGTTGTTGTTCCGACTTGAGCAGGTGTTAGTGTGCTTTTTAGAACTCGGAAACTCGTTTTTTTTCCCGATGTGTCCGACACCACATGAATGCAGCATACGAGCCAGAAGTCGAACAGTTAAAATGCGTAGCATATCAGAAGTCATGTTGATTTCTCCCTTTGGATATCATCATAAGCTTTAGGGATCGTGTGCATCACATTTTTTAAGAACAGTAAAGAGTAGTCGGTATGAATTGTTAGTTCGACATCCCACCACCCCTTCGCCTTTTTACCTGTAACAAGATCACCTGGACTAACGAGCTAAAAAGGGGCTTACTGCCACCTACTGTAGTGGAGTCAGACATACTTCCTTCAATAAATCGATTCTCCCCCGGTGCATGAATACTGGGACAAGAACAGAAGTCCAAAGAAATAACCTAATGGAGCTGTAACCGTAGCTCGACTTCACTGTGCATGTAAACGATATATTAACTAATATCGGCCGATTCATTGGTCGGGCTCTATTTCTTATTGTGAAATATGTTTAAATCTTTACACTGACATATATATATAGTAAGACTCATGAGAACTCTGAGGACTCGGAAAGCAGAAACATGAATCTGTCTCTCGTTTGTGTCGGGATCAGCTGCAGCAGACGGACTCTGGTTTGCAGATAAAGTTATTGATGCCTTTTCTTCATTTTTATATTTCATGTAGCTTCAACCACTCGACTATCTTGAACAGCAGCCCTCTGATAATTTACTTTTTAACATTTAACAAGGGATTTTTATCACAAGTTAGTTTAAATTCTTATTTTTGTAGAAATCTGAAGTATTTATGTTTGACCCGTGTGCAGCTTCAGTCCGTCCAGACTCTCAGTTCTGTTTTCTGATCTTAATAGTTACATTTATTTGACTCACTGGTGAATTACTGTATTTTGAGTTATTAACGCAAATGTATGAAACCAATGAGTGTGTTAATTGTTTTAATTGAGTCTCAGTAGTGATTCCTTTTTAAAGAAATGATCAGAAACTTTGGTGTTAAGTTCATCGTTGTGTTTGTAAAACTTGTTAAATACAGTTTGCTGTACAAAAAAACTCAAATTTGTTTACACATGTGTGACAGCGCTTCTAGTTTCTCTCACACTTCAATCTGTTTGTAGCGTTACAGGAAAGCCGTCTTCCCACAGTACAGATTACTTTCTCGTCATTTCTGAAGACTTTAAACAGATTATTCATGAGATGAATAATTATGGTTATTTTGTGTTTTAAAAATGACTCAGCGTTAACCCCCTCCACCATCAATAAGACTTTTAGGAAAAATTGAATCTTCTGTTTCATAAATAGTAAAAACTACTACTACAGAACTTAAAGTCATCGTCTAACAGGAAGTAGCCACCTTCTTGCAAAGCATGGATAAATTGTGTTTTCTGGTTTTGATCAGGGCATGGCGGTCGATATTTACACAAACTGTGGAGTCGGACGTCTTCATAGGAAACTTCTTTCTTTACAGGCTCACTGCAGCAGTATTACTAGAATTATTCTTTTGTATCATTATCAATCTCGCCTCCTGCTGCACTTTATGTTCTGTGTGTTTTTAAACCAAGGTGCTTTAACATACAGTAATGTCGAAACGTTTCAGACATAACCCGCCGATTAATAACGGTCTGTACTCGCTTTTCTTACCTGAGCTGAATGGAAACATTGTTGATCTGTTAGTTTTTATTCGTCCCTTGTTTGACTTTGTTCTTTAAATATAATTTTTTGACATCCTGACTGATCAATCAATTCATAGTTTTCAAAGCAGACAAAAAAGGGCTTCATACTGCTGCACGCTACGGAGAAGATACCGGCCTCAGTTGCCACCTAGTATTTTTAAGCAGCTTGATTTGTTGTTATTGAAATGGAGAAAGTTGCTGTTGCACAAACGGAGGAGGAGACTCTCCCAGGTTGTACGACAGAAAACCTAAGGAAGAAAACTCAGAGAGGAGGAGATTGTGGATTAATGTTACAAGATCTCCCTCGAGAGATTAAGAAACAGACTTCCCCTCATCCTGCCGTAAAGTATTGTTCACTTGATCAAAATATTCCGGCCTTTTAACTAACTTTACTGCAGAACACTGACTGACAGTGATCCTGATGTGGTCGTTAGCCAACATTAACTAGCTAATGTTAGCCAATTAGCACTCACTGATGTGTTGATGCTTCACTTCCCAAACGGCAGCAGTATCACTGACCCAGCCACAGCGAAAATACATAAAGCTGTCTGTACTTTTGGAGGTTTTTATCGTGGTGACTATGTCAGGGGAAAGTAAACATCACTGAAGCGAAGTTCTGGCAAGGATTTTACTCTTTAGTATTTGAAATAACGTCACAAGGCCCTACAAATGTGCAGTTTATCTTAATATTTCAGTTTCTGTGGTTGTCAGGTGATGTAAACATGCATTGTGGATGAAGAGATAGAAAACTAAAAATCCTGTGCTGCAGCTTCACAGTGTTCAATGGTGGCCACCAAAAAGCTTTTTTCCCCTCAAGCCCTGAGCACAAGTCGTGACTGAAAGCTATGAATTTGATCGATCACTCCAAATGAAGGCTGTTGATGTTTATGCTCTTATCACATTCAGTTGCTTCACTTTTTAACATTTTTACCGTTTCACACCCAAATAGGAATTAAACAAAAAGTGTCTTTAATCAGCAGATCATTAAGTAAACAGTGTTCATCTGTGTTTCTGAGGCCTCTGAACTTTACATCATTTGTTTATTGTAAATTGCTATATTTTGATTTTTTCCAGCACTTTGTAACTTTGATAAAAACATCGCTATGCAAATATACAATGATTATTATTATAATTTGATGTGTCTGAATTGTTATCTGATGTGTTGATACGCCGCATAGGGAGCTGCAGGAAGACATCCAAAATCCTCAGTAAAGAAAAATGGCAGTCCTAAGTTAGTGAGATGTTTTTGCAGCATGGCTGGTTAAAAACCAACTGATTACATTTGTGCCATTTTGTTGAGTTTGAAAAAAACAAAAAACAGGGACAGAGAAGTGAATAAAGACAAATGAAGGCTCTAAATTTAAAAGCCAGATGTTTACAATCATTTGTAGAAAATAAACAACATGGACTCCCAGAAGAGTTTATGCTGTCCCTTCTGTCTTTGATCCCTGGAAATAAATGTTGAAAGTCACTCTGGTTGCCCCGCTGCATCCACTTTGCCTTATTGCCTGTCTTCCATTTCCTGCTCTGTGATGTCATGGCAGTATCAGCTGATCATCCAATAAACAACTTTTTTTTAATCACTTGTCGGAGTGGTTTCATTGGTCCTATAGTTACTTTTGTTGTTGTTGAATTCCTGGCTGTGTTTTCACCCTTTTTGTATATTGAGCCTGCAGTTTCTGCTCTCTGCCTGTAGTGGGCGGCAGAGTTTCCGATTCCCCAAAAGTAACAAAAGAAACACAAAACTGTTTAGAAAATAAAGTTCAGTCATTAAAATCATAATCTTAACTCACTCAAATGATGCGTCCAGTGTTTAGTTGACCAATGGAGTGTCTCCTGCTCCTTCATGGTTCTGGTCCAGGATTAGGGCCAGGTGAAGCTGCGGTCCTAATCACCTGTAACCCAACAGGAAGAAGTATTTTAGCATCGCATATTTAATAAAATAAAAAACAAATTATTTATGGGAAAAATTATAGAAGAAAAAAAAACAATTCTGCACAAAAAAAGTAATTAGAGCAAGTGTGTGTGTGTACTTGTACAACTATCTCTGTGAGGACCAACATACATTTGTAGTCCAGGAAGTGAGGACATTTTTGCGAAGTGGCAACATTTTGGTAGTTCCACATAAGGACTGACCTTTGTAGGGCTGTAAAACTTATTCTTAGCTGAGCAGACAGATTTACTCCTATTCTCCTCCACTTCCTTCTTTCTTTTTTCTTCCTTTCCTACTGTACCTCCTTAATTCCTTCTCTACTTCCTCACATCCTGCTTTTCCTCCAACTCTTTCCTTTCCTTATTTAGCATTTATTCTATACACTTTTGTTGCTCTTCACACAGTTGTTTTTTCTGTGTAAACCCATTGCCCAGTGAGAAAAACAAAAAGCTCCTGTCCCCTTAATAGACATCACTCCTGTCAGACAGCTGCAGAACACTGATCTGATGATCTGAAGATTTAATTTTGGGGTTTCATTTAGGGCAGCATTGTGTGGATGTTTGTTAATGTCTCAATCTTTCTGTTTTCTGTGACCTGACCTCAAGGTTGTAAACAGACTCACCAGCAGGTGGCAGCATTGTTGAAGTAAACTCCCCTCTCTTCCTCTTCATGGAGTGGGTGTGTTTCTGCTGTCCATCATCTTAGGGCCACACCTGGTCAGACACCTGGACCCGAGTCCCTGCTATGTCCTCTATTAAACAAAGAGCAGAGATGTCCTGCTCTCGTCACACCTGCATTTTTCTACTCACCTTAAGACAACACCAACATGACCTTTAATTAAGTATTCTTTCTGACCTGAGATTTTGGACCCTTTTGGATTTGCATGTATTTTGTAGTCCACTATGAAATCATTTTTTCTCCAGAGGAACTCACACACAACCTGGACCTGTTACCTCGGTCCATTCCTAACTTCTCTGTCTCCGCTCTGGTCTAAATCTGAACTTTGTCATGATTCTGTTGTGGCTCAGTCTTGGCCCTAGTCCTCACAGCTACCCCAAGACAAAAATACGGACGGTATGTTTGTGAAAACAGAAACTAGACCCGTTAGATCCTCTCTCCCAGTTCTGGCCCATTGATAAGACACCAGAGAAGCAGGGTAGGGTTACCTGGTACAATTTAATTAATTACAAAAGGTGCAGAGGTCAAAAAGCTCCAGCAACACTTTTAGAACAAAGCGGGCAAAAGCCAAAATGCCTCAGTCTATTTTTTTAAAAACATGAATAGATGGTTGATGTATTTATAATCAACAGCTCCTCGTACCTGGAACTGAATCATGGCAGTGACTTGCAGTCTGTAGCACTGAAGTGGCAGCTGGTATGAAAGCTGAAGGAAAAGTACCGACTGAAATAAACAAAGTCTCCTTTGAAGCTCCTGCTGAGCACAGACCAGTAAAACACACAGGTCATATGATTAAGGACGTAAAGCACAAAAAGCTTATCATGTCTCAGATGGTTTCATTTTAGAGGTTTAGCCAAGCACAAAGACTGGAATGAGGAGGGAACGGCTACCGTCGCTCCATAAAAGGAGTAAACAACTCCAGATTTGATTTACCGGTTGTATGTCAGCGTAGAAGCAGACACATAAAGATAGTGTAGTTTTAGCATCGTAGCTGCTTGACAAACAAACTTCAGACTCCATCAGTTTGAAACAAACTCATGTTTATTATTCAAGTAAGAAAAGTGACAGCAGACACTCAGCTGTGGTTTTATTTACACACATGTACAGTTAAGTCCAGCTGATCCTGGACCAGCTCAGACACAAACCTGAACTCCTCACAGCTGGGACGCGCGTGCTCCTGACAGACCAGTCGCCTCATCAGCACAATCAAGAGACATCACACTGCAGCTGTGAGGAGTCGAACTACAGAGAGGAGATTTATTAAACTCTAACAGTCATTATTTACAAAAACAAACTCTACCGGAGCTCAACAACATGAACACAATGAAACAAACATCTGACAATCAAACATCGCTGATTCAAATCTGTGAGGAAACTCCAAACTTCAGCACGAAGCAGACGGACCTGAAGAGAAGGAGAGAGACATAGAGACAGGTGTATTACATGACATATTTTAAGCTAACATTAGCCGTTTTTCACATATGCACTCCCTGATCTGGTTGTTCATGAATGCATCTTACAGCGGGAGACGGCCCCTGTCTCCTGAGGCAAGACATGACATAATAAGAACGACTCGAGGACGAGGAGAGAAGGAACAGTCCGCTATGTGACAGAATCTGATAGAAAAATGACTAACTCTGCTATGGGACTTGATGAGCTGGAAAATATCTGAAAAATTGGTTCCTGTGCTTTTCTGGCTGGGGGTGATGTTACCGATCAATATTGCTTCCTTACCTACGAGTCCGTCAGGTCAGCAGACTCACACGATGGTGGCCGGGCTGATGACCGGAGCCGTTTTCTGCACGCAGACAGACAGACGGACAGAACAGTTAACACGTGGACACATCAGAAACAAGGACGACGATCTTTAAGACATCTCTGCACTCACAGGTGAAATGTACGGGCTGTTGAGATGCTGTTTGTTTGAGGAGGAGCAGTAGGAGGAGGGCTGGCTGGGGGGGCTCGGCTCCTCCTGCAGCGCCTCCTGGAGGTTGGAGGAGACGCAACCGCTGTCTGAGCCGGTGGAGCCCGAGAGACAGCGAGACGACGAGCCTGAACTCTCTGTGGCTGAGGAGAGGAGAAGAGAAAGATTTCAGAGGATTTTGCAGACTGTCCTGGTGCATTATGGGAAATGTAGGATAGGGTTTTGAAGGAACAAAGATCAATTATCTCCCCATTTCTGTTTCCAGTTTGTATTTCATTTTAATAGTTATAACTGTAACGACTAAAAGGTTGTAAAAAGCATCAGAGAGTATAAATAGTCTTGTAACTAACTTTAAACAAATCACATCCTTGTTGAAATAAGAATTGAAGGTTTATAACCCACTCAGCCTCTCGGTCTCCCTCCCGCCCGCCACACAACTGAACAGGTGAAATAAGATGAACAGCACCACAGTGCAACCTCCCAAAAATGATCTCAAGCCCATAAAAAAACACACATTATGGCTCCTGCATTGGCTGCAGGATTTACTGTGTGCGTGTTTACGTACTCATGGAGGGCTGGCTGCTGGTCTCGTGCTCCTGCTCGTCTTCCTCGATACAGGAAGTGATGAAGGAGCTCTCTGCAGCAGGAGACGAGGAGAGGGTTTGACTGGAGGAGGAGGAGGACAAGAACGGTTTAAACATGATGCTGGATAAACAGAGTGAACCTAGAACAGGTGGGACAGGTGTGTGTTGTACCTGTACATGTGCATGTGCAGGTTGAGCGGTCCGAGCAGGCCGGATGAAGAGGGTCCTGAGGCCGCAGCTTCAGAGGTCCCCGATCCTCGTTTGAAAGGGTTCGAGTGATCGAAGACAGAGACGGCGATGGACGCTCGCGTTCTGGCACCTAAACAAACACATGGACATTTCAGTCATGAGCCGATAAGATCTAGTTAATAGCAAGCTAATGAATCAAACTTAAAACATATTCATTTATTATCATTAATAAAAGTCGAACAATACATCTTCTCTTAGTCCTCATCTAAGTGAGTAGATACAGAGTACTGCATTCTAAAATGAGACGTTTATTTTAAAGTGTTTGACCTCTGCTCTTCATGATGTAGTGAACGGCTCGGTCACTGATGGCCGCATCACTCGGCTGGATGTCCAGAAAAGGTTTACTCCCCACTCCCATCGACACCATCTCCTTCAGACGACTCTCTGAAACACAGAACAGGAAAGGAAATGATGTCCGGGTGAAGAGAGGAGAGGGAGCGGTGTCAGCAGACAGAGAGGCCCCAGCACTTAAACTGCAGACCCTCCATGCAGAGTGCAAGAGAGCCGAGGAGGGGGTTCAGAAGGCGGTTGGAGAGGTCCAAATTATTGTGTGCCTGTACCTTTGTTCTTGGTGGCCTGCGTCCACAGGATTCGGGCGATGCCGGTCGTCCAGGCGTGTTTGACCTCAGCTGTGGCGGGCTGCAGAATGAAGGTCTGGTTCTTAGACGTCCTCCTTCTGAACCAGATCTCAAAGCGGAGCCCGTTGTCTCCTGCCGACTCGGTCAGACCCACATCTGCTGTCTGAAAGAGACAGAGGAGCTCAGTCTGAGTCTGACCTCAATCGAGCGTCAAGGTTCTCGCATCACACTTCTCCACAGCAGAACAGATTCTTGTGTCGGTTTGAAGCAGACACTCACGGTTATGGAAAGTTCAACTTCTACTCTGATAACCTGGTGCACACAGCGCTACAGGAGCCTCATTTGTCAACACAGCTGTCAATCATGTTGTTATAGCCCTTTTTTTTAGCATCACATTACAAATGAAAACTGACCTTCACAGACAAAGGGACACTTGGACATGAATCAGCATGATAAGAATTACCTATAATGACCGATACCATGTCCTGTATTTTGATTTCAAAGTTTGATCCATGTCTAATCTGTTAACATGGGTGAGGTGGAGCTTATAAACAGTACTACTGCCAGTCAGCAGGGGGAGCTCGTTTTGGCTTCAAGTTTAGGGAGTTGTCGAGTCGTCCATCCTTTTACTAATTAAATGGTTTTACCTTGAAGGAGTGTTTGTAGATGAAGACGTCCAGCCCTCCCTCCATCTTCTTGGGTTTACTGAAGAGAACGAGCTCCTCAAACAGGAAGACGTGGCGCTGACATTTCCTCCTCCCGGTCCAGACAGTGAACTCGTCCTGACGGATCAGCTGACCCTGCTCCTTCAGATTTACCTGGAGGGAGGGAGCGAGAGAGGTAGAGTCATGTGTCTCTGAAGGACAAGAGGAAGAGGAGGACGAGGAGGACCACACTGAGATAGTCAAACTTACATCACAGTCTCGGATGGCGTCCATTGCCAACAAGTCGTTGCCATGACGAAGCTGGAACTTGACCATGTTGGTGGCGGCTTGCAGGGCGACATGCTCCGCCTCCTGAGCCGCGCCCACCTCCTTCATGAGGTCAGTGAGGAGCAGAGCATATTTACTCATCCTCTGGACAGGCTTCAACAGGTAGGAGGAGAGGTCCATCTTATCCCCCAACTCCACCTGCTTCCTCTGCACGAGGGGGAGGAATCAAGGAGGGTGGAAAGAAGAGAGGAAAGAGAGTAAGAAAGAAGGAGAAGGATGAAGGATAGATGTGCAGGAGAGAGAGAGAGAGAAGGAGGAGATACAAGGAAGAAAGGAGAAAGTGGACAAGTAGAGACAAGTAGGAGAGAAAATGAGGAGGTAGAGAGCAGGAGGAATGGGAGGTGAGAGAGAGGAAAGAGGGAGATATGGCAGATGAGAAAGGAGGTGGAAGAAGCAGAATAGGAGGGGAATCAGAAGAGAAAAGGTAGGGGTAGAAGGAGGAAAGTCAAGGGAGAGACAGGGAGGAGTTTGAGATAAGGAAAGAAAAAGAGAAGAGGAGAGAGAGTGAAGGAGGAGGCAAAAAAAGACAGAAGGAAGAGGAAGTGTAAGCAGAGAAAGATGAAGAGGTTGTAAGGACATAGAGAAGGAGGAGCATACAGGAGGGGGAAGGAGAGGCGGAGGAGGCGGAATGAGAGACAGAGGGAAGAAGTAAGGAGAAAAAGGAGGACGATCAGAGTCAGTTCATTGTACTCTCATCAGAAATGTACACAATGAGGGTACCAGCTGAGTGTGAGATCTAAAATGTGAATCATAATGTGATGATGAGGAGTTCTCACCCTGAAGAAGGAGTGTCCGTGCAGAGCGAGCAGAGTGTCAGATTTTGGTTTGTTCTTGCTGTAGAGAGCGTACAGACTGAACTGCTCCTGCTGCAATACACAAAAACACATTATATCAAAATGTGCATCTCCTTAAAAAAAACAATAATTTACATTTTCTAAAAAATTTTCGAGCAACTGAGCAAAATTACTAGATTTAAATGCCTCGTTTTAATTAAATAACCAATAGCAAGCGATCTGACATGCATTTAAAGAAAACAGTAGTTTACTGTTCAGTTCATAAAGCTTGAGGAGTGCTGGTTTCTTTAGATAGACGTCTCGATTTAAGTCAATGAGGGACCAGCGGAGTTACACAGAGGAACAGAAACTGCACAATGTGGACTACATGAAGCAGGAAGACAGTTTAAACCTTGTTACCCCTGAGAGACCCCCCAAAACCGTCTTACATACCAGTGCGACTTATATTCCAAAATTTCAATTCACTTAAATCTGCTGTTTTTGGGTAACCACGGATACACACTTACTGAGTTGGTGCAGCCAATAATAAACTGTTGTTGAATTTTACTACTATTTTCCCCTTGAATATATTTTTATATAAATCACACTCAAAGTAGTGATATTAAATATCAGCATGCTGTGATTCTCTGTGGCACCAGAGTAAAGTTCATCATCAGTGTTTTTGTGTTTGCGTGTCGTACATGTCTGAGGAAGCAGTGTGGCACTCTGAGCGGGTGTTTCCAGCACGCCTCCAGCTCGTTCAGGAAGAACTGACTGTGGAAGTCCAGAAGTTTCTCCAGGTTTCCGAACACGACTGAGCGTTTCCCCCGCAGGTCCTGAGGAAGGTCGGCCCGGTCCATCATGGGGAAGTAGTGACGGATGATGTAACTCAGAGAGCGGACGTACTCCCTCTCCGTGGTCACCATCTCCTCGACGACGTGCCGGAGCTTACTGCAGATACAAAACATGTACACACACTCAGTACAAAGGATGATAAACTCTATTTCAGACCTCCATGGAGTTGTTGATACCTACCTCCCCCTGGGTCTGGACTCTGTTGCCGGGCTGCCATTGGTTCTTGGGGTTCCGGGTGTCCCAGGGTTGCTCAGTCCCTGCACTGCCCAGCTGTGAGCAGGTGTCCTGGGGCAGAGCGTGTGGTCAGCTGCCTCAGAGCTGCTGACCTCCAGGCCGCGGATGAACACGCCCGTGTTTCCTCTGCGCACCGGCTCGCTGAGGGTGCGGGGGTTGGGCCCGTACCGTGACGACTCGGGGGTGGAGGGACAGTCGAAGCTCTGAGTCTTTCTTAACTGCTGCCGCCTGCTGGAGGAGAAGGATGAGGAGGTTGAGGAGGGGGACGAGGCGAAGGAGGGTGTGAAGCTGTGACAGGAGCCGAGGCGGGGTAGACTGGGACTGGAGGAACAGATATCCACCAGATCTGACGACTCGGAGGAGGAGGAGGGGCTGCGGAACAGACGCTGGAGGAGTGGGGTGTGTTGAGGAGTGTTGGAGAGATGGGAGTAGGAAGTGCTGCGAGGAGGCGAGGAGTTGCTCTCCTCAGGGGGGCAAGATGAGAAAGTTAAGGACTTATCAAAGACCCCCAAAAGTCCTGACAGTGATTTCCTGGAGGAGATGGAGCTCCTGCTGACGGCAGAGTCAGATCTCTGTCTGTGGGCGGAGTCTCGTGTCCTGAGCGCCGCCTCCATCTTCCTGTCAAACATCTTCTTGGTCTCCTGACATTTTGACCAGGCGAAGCTCCACTGACGGAGGCCTCGCTCGCCCCGCAGCTCCTCTGCCAACGCCTTCATCTCCTGAAAACGGCCGTCTGGGATAGGTGGGTGCTGGCGCTGGTAGTCCTCCAGGCAGTCGATCACCGCCTGCCGTTTGTCTGGCAGCGTGCACTCCTCCATACTGACTCCAGCTAGGTGACGCATACCCTCCAAAGCCCAGCCATAGGCCTGCAGACACAGAGAGAGAGAGAGCCAGGCTCAGATCATGACCTCATAATAAGGGGGTGTGGCCTCTGGTAACACAGCATTGAACCTCTCAAGAATAAGTGGAAAATATAACCAACAGAGAGGTCTGGTGCCTCCATCTTTATATTCTCTGGAGTCTGGACATGTTCTGCACGTAGACTGCTGGAACAACACCAAACAGCTTATTTATGAAGTCATGAAAAAGAAATTCCAAATATCTGCTAAGCTGGTTTTTCTGAGCTCAACCACAGAAGTTAAGACTGTGACTTGTCCTCCTTTGAAATCGTTGGATTATTTTGGCTTTCACAACTGCTAAACGGATATTTCATGGAGGAGAAAAGACTCACCTCATTATGAAGAATGAGCTACAACTATGGCTCAACTAGCAGCCTGTGAGAGAGTGACATACTCTCTGTTGGATAAGCTGGATCAGTGCATGCTCAGTAGGGACTTTATGCTGCCTGGCTATCTGCGACTCTAACTTAGAGGTCAATTTTTTTAACATAGAAACGTTGTTGGTTTGAAGATCTCCTGATATTCTTTTTTGCTTTTATTGGAGAGATAGGACAGTGGATAGAGTCGGAAATCAGGGAGAGAAGGAGAGTGGGGATTGACATGCGGGAGAGGAGCCCCAGGCCGGATTCTAACCCGGGCCGTCCCCTGGGACAAAAGCCTTTGTACATGGGGCGCAAGCACTAACCAGCAGGCTACCGGCGCCCCGCCTTGCACTCGTATGTAGAGATAACATTGATAAGATTTCGGTCATAGTAATTGGGGTAATTGTTGTCCTCGGTTTGTAAAATCAATAAAAATGTTGAACATATAAAAGTGCTAATGTCCCTTGTGCAGGCAAAATGTTTAAAGTAAACTAACAATGTTGAGAAGTCAAACTGATGCTGAACATGATTGGAAATGTTGTAAACCCAAGGGGAGATATTGAGTCAGCATGGTTAAAAACAAATGTTGAAATTTTGTTAAAATAAGGTTTAAAGGCTTTATATGTGATTTTTCACACTTAAATAACTCTGTGAGTCATGACTGTCTACAATGGGTGTAACACCCGAGTCCCACTGTCTGTGATGTTTTCAGAGTCATATCTTCAGTTTGTTTACATCGCCGGGACGACGGCTGACTCCTCCCCTCGTATAAAAGTTGTTTAATTGAGGGACTAGAGAAAAGAAGAATAACATACTGTACTCACTGCTTAACTGTGTTTCTAGATCACGCTCATTTCAGGTAAATTTACATGCAGTGTGAAGATACGAGCAAAATAAAGATCGCTAGCATTAGCATGCTAACCCATAATGCACCGCGAGTTGTTTTGGTTTCATGCTGGTGATCAAGGGCGACATCTGATGGATTAAAAAATCGCATATAAAGCCTTTAATCTGAAAATCTTGAGGTGCAAAAATAAAATTAAAAACGCTCCAGTCATCACTTTACTAATTTACTTTACTAATTTCTGTCCCTGATTCTCTTCAGTGTCAATGAGTATCACCATTTCAGCTTCATGAAGAGGTCAATGGTGCAAAGACATTTAAGGTCCATTAATATCTTTAAAAGATGCTACAATATCCAAAGGTCCCTCCTTTTATACGTTCTCATGTAGTATTTATGTATATTTTTTGAAACTGTTAGGGATGTGTATTTGTGTGACTACATGTGTGTATGTTGTGAATGTTTTTGTTTTCGAAATGTCATGCAGTGTAATGTGCTATGACAATACAGACATCTGTGTCCTTCTCCTTCAGGTTGTAGCAGCCGGCCAAAGGCTAGCATCAAGCACAGCGCCCACACGGTTTCAGTGCCAGCGCTGCGGCCAATCACAGATTTTGCAAATCGAGCTTAAACCATCAGTAAGCTTGCCTTTGGACTAGTTTTTGTTCAGGTCAAAACGCAGGTTTTAGTTTCCTCAAAAGACTCTTTGATCACGACAAACATCCTCTCCAATACCTGTGAGGAACTTTTCCTGACACGCCTCATTTATACTGCTTGTGTTGTTTAGACAAAGATCCTGTTCAGGCACGAAACTCAGAACAACTCAGAGATACTCAGCTCTAAGTTTTAGGCACAGGGGGGGATGATGGCCGGAGGTGTCTGTGGTTCTGTCTGTGTTACAAACAACCAGAGAGAGAGAGAGAGAGAGAGAGAGAGAGAGAGAGAGAGAGAGAGAGAGAGAGAGAGAGAGAGAGAGAGAGTAATGACATCACCCTCCACGTTGGTGTGGAGAAACCTTTGATGTGTGTGCGTGTGCGTTTGAGCGCCACAAAGGAGCCGACCACCGACCTCTTTTTTGTCGCGGTTGGAGGGGGAGGAATGTGTGTGGTGGGGGTTTAAATGAAAGAGGAGAGGCCTCCTCCTCCTTTTCTGCACTGATGGACTGAAAGAGTCTTTACCCTCCTCACAGACAACCAACACATTACCTCACCACTAAAACAGCACACACACACACACACACACACACACACACACACACACACACACACACACACACACACACACACTCATGTTTACTCAGGTCACTTTGGGATATTTACACAGACTTCCATTCACTTCCTGGAGACGCATCCAACCCACAACACTAGATTTCTCCCAATTTTGGACACAACTTATCCCAGATCAGCTGCACTAACAGAAACGTTTCCCAGGCCTTGAGAGGATCTGTTTAATCCTGACCTGACAGAAGCAACACTGCCGCTTGATGTTAAGATGAAGAAAGTATGAAGATGTTCACAGAATCTATTTACCCTCTGCAGTAACATCACATGCTTAGTGCACCTGCTCTATCTGTCCATTATGAGGGCAGGCAGCAGCTGCAGCAGCACGATGTGGTCTGTTTGGGTTTGCAGAGGAGGGCAAAGGAGGAGTCAAACAATGACTCTCACTGAAGACCTCACCAAGTAGATTTTGTGCCTGAACAAACCCTAAATGGTCCCCCAACATGTACACAGTACCTTAAACCAGACCCTGAATGGTGCCTTGAAACAGCTGTTAAAGGGCACCTTAATGGAAAAACCAGAGTACCTTAAATCAGACACTTACTTGTGTGTGTGTGTGGATGTGTTTGTGAGATGGGAAAGGGGAATTAGGGATATCAAAGTGTTTGTATTGGAGGACCTTGAGTGGAGAATGTTTTGGACATTCATGGGATGACGCACAAAAAAAAAAAAAAAGCAACAAAAAACTAAACGCAGTTAATTATCATCTAAACCATTTAAGGAGGATACTATTGTTGTGACTTCCGCTCTGTGTCTTCTCAGTGCTTGTTTGTCATAACAGGAGGTCAGCTGTCTAACAATGAAACCATACGGACCATCACACCCTCCTACAGTAGGACACTGGGTCAGCTGTGTGTGTGTGTGTGTGTGTGTGTCGGCTGAGTGCTCTCAAAACTGATTAGCTGGCTGATGTGTCCTGATCACAGCAGCCGCTCGGTTCCCACACAAACACACACGCACACATTCATGTAGTCTGATCCTCCGCCCTCAGGAACATGAGCGGGGTTGGTGGAGAAAAGAGACTAAACACTATTTTTAAAAAAGACATCAAAAAAAATCTAAAACACTGAAATTGGACCACTTCAGAAGGAGGACTTTGGCCAGTAGTTTCCCCCCGGAGTCTCCCAGTGTTTGGCTTTGCTAGGCTGCACCAGTCTCTGACTTTCAGTTAAATCCTCGACATTCCTCAAACATTTATCTACACAACGTCTCTGAACTCCCACACTCGTACCAGGAGGTGAAATGTAAGTCAGACTTACACGCAAACATTTGAACCATGACAAACATACCATAAACTATTACTGTTGTTTTGTTTGGATACGACCTCTGTGCTTGCAGAACTGATAAGGCTTAGCCTCTCCAAAAGAATCTTAAGCTCCTTTCACACAAAAACTCCCGACATTTTCCAGACAAATCAGAACATTTAGGTGTTGAGACGAAATTTCCCGGAATAGCCCTTTGACACATGACCTCAACAGCTCTCAAAACTTGAAAGACTCAAATTTGAAATAGTTGAAGGGGGGGGGGGGACTCTGGCTATCTCATCAGGTTATCAAAGTCAGGGTTAATGGATTTGAGCATTCCCCTTTCTGGAAAATCTGAACATTTTCAGGAGTGTGGTGTGTGTGTGAACAGGGCTGAAGAGGGCGTCTGTCCGCACGGGTACACGTGTCCATTATCCTTTTAGATCTGGTAACCAGGGTAAACTTTTATATGTGTGTTAAAAATACGGCTGAGGAAGTATCAGTTATGCAATGTTCCAAAAGGATTTATATTCTTTTGTGTGTGGGGAAATCTGTCTCAGAATCAAATTATGCACACATACGACCGGCTTCAAAGAAACAATGACAAGAAAATAAATCAATATGTAGATACTCATCCGAACCCAGATAACCCAGATGGCTGTATTCCTCTTGAAACTCAACAATTACATGAACACAATGAAGCTTTTTCAGTCAAAATCAACAACACCACGACATCCCCCTCAAAAAAGCTAACCATTTAATGTCATTATCAAGCCCGTTATTAAGTGTCTGAAAGCTGTATGATATACCCAAAGATGCTCCATCAACTCTCCTGTTCTGTTAAATCGTCCCTAAAATCTCAGGTCTGCATTCAGAGACAAAGGTTTGTATTGTGATTGTACCTGTAAGGTGACCTTGAGTGTCCTCACAGGCGATTTAAATAAAATCTATTAAGGTTATTACTATTAAAAGTTGTATCTCATATTCTGATTGAGAAAAAGTCTACTGGCATGACTCCCATTTGACATTTTCTTGAACTTTACTGGCTTGTTAGTTTAAGGTAATTTGGAGTAGCGAACCCGTCCACACATACGTTTGTGCGTTATCCATTTTTGAATGTTTACACCTCACCTCTCTGAGGGAAGAAAGAATATGTTCGCATGTGTGTGTTGTTTCATTAGAAAGTCACACCGCCAACTACTAGTCGGGAGGTAAACTAGAGCACAATTTTGCAGATCTG